GTTTGGAAAGCACTTTGGATCTCTGTGTCAAAAAGTTGCTATATAAATAAAGTTTTAATTACTTATTTACCTTTAACAAAACAACAAACAAAACCTATTATTTAAGGGGGAGTGTAGTACACCCCCTATAGTCTGGTGGTATGGCAGCAGATACTTCTGCATCACTTGCCAGATGGAAACAGGGTGAACAGGTTGTTGCTGTGGTGGGTATTATACATGTTAATGGTTATCATGATTTGATATTTTGTTGGAATTCTTCCAACAAAATTGTATCTGTTTGCCTTGATAAGATAGTTTGAACACTGGCTGACAGTAGCTCTTACATGTGCTGTAGATGCAGCTAGCATTAGCAAACCTGATTAACACTGTTTGAAAAACAACATAGTACACTTACAAGATTTATTCCTCTTCAGTGGCAGTAAACAACACGTGGGCCTGCCAATGACTGTGCTATATTCAGGGCTAAACAAGATACTGTAGTTAAGGCTGACAAACAGTAAACTTGAGCAGGGCACTCCCCTGTGGACACACCGGAGAGCCCCTTGTAGTATAGCTGCTAACTCAGCCACAACACACACAGCGACTCTCTCAAAAAGACGTGAAGGTCCTTCTATGACTGTCAAAGCTCTCTTAGACTACCTGTCTTTCCAGCAGAGAAACAGACACGATTTGTTCTGACTACCAGCTCCATGTCAAATTTTATGCCACACTGAAGGCTGGTCAGTCAGTCTCCCTTGTGTCTTCTGACACCCTGCATCACACACCACGTAACCACAACAACACTTGCTGCCTTATTCTTCCCTCTTTAATTTTTGCTTCTGTAGTGAGGCAGAGTTCTAGCAGAATTTGAGGGTGTAGTTACCCTTTAAGAACCTCATGACTTTCATAACAAACGTCATTGTGTGCCCAAATGTACTTTGTAATGGATTTTTGTATGTCATAATCCATAACAATTTCAAGTATTTAAGGGTCCAGTGTGTAACATTAAGAAGGCTCTATTGTCAGACATGGAATAATATTCATAGGTATGTTAGTGTATAATCACCTGAATATAGAAATCTTTGTGTTTTCGTTATCTTAGAATGAGCTGTTTTTATCTACGGATCCAGCGGGTCACCTTCCATGGAGTCCGCCATGTTTCTACACACCTGCCACCTGGGCACCCTGGTCATATTGTTATGCAGTCCTATACACAACAAACTGTAATGCACTGTGTGTTCCGACATATTTCCATCAGAACCAGCATTAACTGTTT